TAGGTGTTTCAGGCTGGAGCCAGCTCTTCCCTTTCTCAGAAGTGCTTAAACTTGCAACCTCTGTCAGGGTTCACCATCATTTATCCAGTTATCCTGCTTTTATTACCTGATGACAAATCTGAGTTCATAAACACCTTGCCTGAAAACTCCATCTTGTAACTTATGTGATTTTCTATTCACGGTTTTTGCTCTTAATGACAAAGGGTCTTGTCAGTTGTCACCCACAATGATTATACCCTGTCCACCCACATATCCCAACATTACAATTCAGTTCACATCCACTGTGCTCTGCACAGGGTTTTGTCCTGTATACCAGTCACTGTAACATCTGGGCTAAGTCACATGGAAGTCTTTGGATGGTAAGCAAAAGATTAACAGGGATGTCAGGAAGGTTCCCAGGTACACAGCTACAGAGTCCTGGGTGCACAAAGCAAGCAGAATAAAGAACTAATCTGCAGAGGGTTGTAAAACCACTGAAATACAAAACTGTGTATCCTCCTGTTCTGTTATGTTCCTCTAAGATAAATAATAGATACAACAGGCTGCTTGTGCCATATTTCAGGATTAATTCAAAACAGAAACACAGAATAGAGCTCAATTTTTTGTCTGCTTTCAAGTCTTTGCCTCACAAAATAATCTTCTTCACATCTGACCCAGAATATCACAGACTGGAAAGATAAGAAAGCAAAGAGAAACCAAATTCAAAAATGGAATACCTTAAAACTTTCTTGGGAATACATTATGGTTTTTCACCCAAATTGCCAGCCTTGAACCCCTTACTCCCCAGTCTCCACGCATGAAGCTTCTCCCACCAAAAGAACACCTTGAGTGGAGGAGCCATTTCTACAAAGTCCTCAAGAAGCTGAGTTCTTTTCTTTTCCCAGTCCTTTCAAACAGGAGGAGCCAAGCACACCTTTGGGTCACTTGTGCAAATGAAAGACTATACAAATAACCAACTGTAAAATCCAATTATGACAGCATTGAAAAGGTTTTATGCAAAACTGCTGGTTTGCAAGAAAAGCAGATGACAGCTTTTAAACTACAGGTAAAGAACAACCAGTTTGTTCATTTACTTAAATTTTAATCATTGGAATATTGGTTCTTTTAAGATTTGTGTTTCTATTTGTGGTTCTATTTATTGAAGAAGTTATGTAACTCACTAGCATGCTAGCTGAGAGGCAAGTTTCTTTTCAGTATTGATACCAAACGATACCTTGCCACAGAGAAAGCTATTTTTCAGAGTTTCACCTTGGAAACAAAAACTGTCAGCTAAGGCAAAGAGATAGGGAATGCAATCAAAGGATAAGAGGAGGAAAACTTAACTGCAAATCCCTTGACTACATACATCATCACTCAAAGAAACAAAACATGCACCTGGGTGTTTATGTATCACTATAATTTATACAGGGAGGGGCAGGTTTTACACTATTATAGTCATAATTACACAATGTTGCATTAATCTGCAGCAAAAGTATACACAAAAGTATGCTTTAAGAGGCCTTTATAGAGCTCAAATTTGGTCTCAAGTCATGATCTCAAGCCTGTTATTACATCCCTTCCTGTCTTTTCCCAACATAATCAAGCCACACATAAAAAGACTTGTTCCTATTAATGGAAACAAGGAAAGAGGATAGAATGCAGCATTTTACCTTGCAAAAAAGTTCTGACACTGCCTCCCATGCTCCCCCCAAAAAGTAGTTTTCCAACTTATGAGCAAGAGATATTTCAGCTTTTATTGTGAAGCAATTTCACCTAGTTTATAGAAGAGAATGATTGATGTGGCACCTGTATTAGTCTCTCTTGGGCGTTACATTTTCAGTCAGATCACACCAAATGCAATGCATAGGAAAGTTATTATCACTGGGAATACTTTAGGGGAAACACACTTGGTCCCAAAAACAAATCCTAAGAAGGTTGCCAAGTAAGGTCCTGCTCAGGATATCTGAGAAACACTGTCTGCACCTAAGCTTCAAAGCACATAAAGGGTCTAATCAGCAGTCAGGGTATTGTCCCAGAAGGCAGCATCACCCATGACTGTGCAGCCAAGCTTGTAACAGATGTGGCAACCCCATCTCAGCCACACTATTAACACGCCATTATGATCTGCCAGCAGATGGATAACACTTCTATTAAGAAGCAACAGGATATTTCACATCCCACTGTTACCCTAATAGCATTTATTAAACACGGACCTCGAGAGCCTTGACAAAAAACTGCTTTGCCTGCATGCTGCAGGATACTTTAAATTGTTTTAAACCCAAATACATCTACTGCTGTTTTCCTGAAATTCTGGAAGGGACAAACTGAGCTTACCGGAGCTCTGAAGATGCCCATCCCTTCCCTGGGAAGCTGCCCCAAGGCTGCCTGGTGCAGCTGCCTGGAACAGCCCCTCCAGTTCCAGCCAGGTGTGCCCAACAAGCACAACTGTGAGAGTTCACCTCACCAAATCAACAGCAACACCAAAATGTTGCTGACATTGAAGCTATAACTTGGTCTAGAATAAAGAGCAATTTTTAACAGTACCATAAAAAGCCTATTCTTTTAATATATTCTCATGGATCATTAATAGCTTTTCCATCTCAATTAAACATTTAGTTTCAATAAACCAATGGCACGATAACAGAAACTCATCTTCTAGTTTTTATATGTATTTAAAAGACAATGGCAGGCATATTTGGCAATAATACTCCCTATTACTGTTAGCAGCCGTGGCGATACATATAGTCAAGACATCCTTGAAACTACATCAATTTTTAGTTTCAGTCCACTACAAGCAAAAGAGGTTAATCCTGGGCACAGGCAAACTGCTAGGCAGGATTGCCATATCTTTCTTGCATCAAGTCACCTACCCTTCCTCATCACCTCAGAGCCCATTTTGCCCTTCCTCATTGTATTACCTCCTTGCTGGTGCCCCTTACAGCAGAGGTTTTCCTCTTTCCCCATCCGCTAAGGGAGTTCACTGACATTTTCCCTGGTTTCTCCTAATACTGGTATTTTACACAAATAAAACCCTTTTCAGAGCACCTCTTGCAGTAAAGCAAAAGTAATAAAGTTTTATTGTATAACTGGATATATCATATCCAATTAAACATCATGGAGTGACAACATCTTAAAGGGATTATTTTCTTAAGTAAGATTTTGAAATCTGTTGTGAGCAAACAGACTTGCATCCCTAAATTTACCAAACGTCCCTGGAATATTTACTGATTCACACATTCCTTTTAACATCCATTTGAAAGATGAAGTTTTCATCCCTTATATTTGAGTGTGTTCTTTGATTTGCTAATGGCAATAAAGATATTTCTCAAATATACACACACACAAAAAAAAAAAACCACAACCACAAAACCCAAAACCACCTTTCTGCAGTAGAGGACCAATCACATCAAAAACTTAGACTGACACCTGAATGCTGGAGCTTATAAATTAGAAGTCAGTCAGAATCATGAAGGCTCCTAACTCCTCCTCAAGCCCTATCCAGAAATATTTGTTATTTTTCTCAATATATAATGCAGTCCTACTGATCCTTACAGAAGACTAATGAAGTGTAAAAGTATTACATACTTCTAAGGGTATTTAGCATTTTACATTTCTACTTAGATTTTGAACAGTAATCAGGTCATAAGTGTGTTACAAGCTGTAGCCATACAATCCAAAATTTATGCAATACTGTAGCCAAATTTGAGTATTTAATATTGAATATAGCATATAAGAACGTTTGGCAGGAAAGACTATGCTACGTTATTCAAAATGCCTATATTACACAATACATATAAATTAATTCCTATGGTAAAAATTCATCATCTGCTCTTCCTCATTACACCATTTTAAGACCATTAATAAATATTTTTTCCTTGAATAATATATTGAACAAATTGCCATAATCAAGAAACAAAACTGCAGATGAGAAGGAAGAGATTAAAAACCCATTTGCAGATCTCATAGGATAACCAAGCAAGACAGTCATTCCCACTCTCCCCTGGCAGATATATAGCTGTGTTTATAATGTCAAATCAACTGAATCAATTATCTATTAAAAAAAAAGCAGAAGTTTCACTGCTTTTAGAGTCATAGACATATACTTGATAAATGCCAACTTCAGTGTTCACTGGCTACCATACCACAAGACTGGAATCACTCTTCAAAGACTGTCCTTTATCATTATTAATCAGTTCATAACATAAGTATTTAATATGCAGAGACACGGCCCATTTTCTTCATTACTCCTACAACCCCAGTGCTAGAATAAAGAATAGTAAGATAGGGAACTCCTTAGAAGCCACAATCACTTGTTCTTTTGTTTTATTGGGTTGTTTTATTTCAGGCTTTTGGTTCAGAAATGAACATTCCCTCAACAATGCAACATTGGCTCATTGGCTTTGCTCATTTCTTCCTGTTATTACATTCTGTAATTATCAAGAGCCTCAAGCACCCCTTCCAAAACTGAATTTACTACATTATTCAAACTGTCCATTCATCAGTAGCCATCACCTATTCCCTAGAGATCCTGGCATGCTATCAGTCAATGTGCTCTGGTGCACAGGGAAGGTGGCATAGGGAGCCCTAGGAGGCAATTTCCCACCTGAAGCTCACTGGCCAATTCCCTAGCATGGAGATGGGAAGCTCTGAGAGTACAAGAGAAACAACAGATTCATAAGGTGAATTGTTTGAACATTAGAGTTACCATTCTGAGGAGCACGACACAGCCTGCGCTTCCAAGAAAGCATGGAAAATAAATTGACTTTTTGTTTTGTTTGGGGTGTTTTTTTTGCAAGGGAAAAATTTCCAAAGGAGAACCAAACTTCCACACACAAAGGAAGATGTATGATCCATGCACAGCCAAGATTCAGAGGATTATGAGAGCACTCACAAAATTAGGATCGTCAATAGGCTGGGGGGAGAAAAGCAGAGTAAACTCCATCTGAACACACAGTCTTATTCTTCCCCATCCAAGTACATTCACCCATGCCAGCAGTCTCACTTTACTGGAATAGTGGCTTTTTCAGTAAGTCCTAGGCATTGTAGCTTTTCCAAGTGGGCCATCCTTATCTGCTCCCTCCTCCAGCCAGCTTCTGTCACCTCTTTCTTCTCATTAACAGAAAAGCAGTAGCGCTGGGCTTTTCAGAGTACATCATTCACCAGTGACTGCGATCCATACACTGAAGAAGTGAGAAAAATTGTAGGAAAATGCAAAAAGAACAAAACGCCCTCAAAATAGATTTGAAGGGATAAGAAAAACTGCTATCATAAATAATGCAGGATCCAGGGGAATAAGCCTTAGAAACCACCGCACTCCAAGCAAGTTTCCAGATGTACAAGAAGGCCAGGCAATTATGTTCAATTCCTGACTGATTTAATTGGTATGCACAGCAAACCCACAAGACAAACTACAGGCAAAGTTATAATTGCCCTGATTACATAGCTCTGTAAGACACTTTCAACAAAATAACATGCAGCATTTTTCCTTTATTTATATCTAACACTGAAAACACCATGGACAATCCATTTTTAAAACCTCCTCTAAAGAAACCGTTACCAGAAGCAAAGAATAATAAAAACAGGAGGTGGAAAAATGGTGATCTAGACAGTACCTTGAAGTACATCCCATCTGCTTTTAACATCTCCATTTTGTTTTGTTTATAAAAGCTTATGTTAAAAAAAAACAACAGCTTTAACAACAAAAATAGCAATTCATGATGTAATTTCTTGATGCCATGGTGTAGCAATGAAGATCTTTGTCGGTTTTTGAGAGATAAAAGATGTTTTCTCTCACTAAATAGGCTCACAAAGCCGGGTTTGCAGCACAAACATTACCCTCTAACTTGAGCTGAATTTCTTCCACTCTACTGCTGACATATATGTCAACTTAATCAATAGGTTATACTCAACTGTCAGAGTTTTTTCTCCACTTATATTTTATCTTGCTCTTCAATTGTTAGAAAGGAAGGAAAAATGAGCTATCTAAACCAACATAAAGCCAAACACTGCAGAAAACCTTTCTCCTGCATCCTGCAAAGATGAACCTCTCCCTCAGCTGCTCTTCACACCAGTGCACAAAGGAGAGTTGTGCAGGACTGTAATGCTTTCACCCCAGCCACACATGCTTCCAGCAGAGGCAGGAGATCATGTTACTCCTTGCAGGAAAAAAAAAAACCAAAACACAAAACCTTTCTTTATCATTGACAAAGGCCTGTTTCATCTCCGACTCAAGAGCTCTGTCTGTGTGAAATAACACACATGTGCCTGTGGACCAGCACAGGTACATACAACACACCACCACTATCATACCATTTCCCAAAGTATTATCCATCTTTACTAATGTGTTCCTCATTTACCAAGCATCCTAAACCTCCAGTGGAGATGTATTTTGCCAAGATATAGCCTTCTCCTGACATGGGAGCTTACCGGCACAAGCACTGACCACTTCTCTTACTGATAAGATCAGGCAGATTCCTACTTCTTTCAGAGATCAGTGATGTTCATATTGAATTACCTGTCTTAATTGCTACCTGCATTGGCTGGCCCATTTAATCCCTCTTCATTAAATACCATCACTTTTACCACTTTAACAGAATGACCATAAATATAGTCTGGTACCTGCTGATCATTTGGAAGTAAATAAAAGTCTCAGTGAGACCTGGATCACTACACATATTCTGGCCCCAGGTCAGCAAAGCAGAGCTGCACAGTCTGACCTCTAAATAGAGGAAGGCACCAGCTGGAACATGGAAATGTAGCTGGGAATTCCTGCTCTACCCCACTTGCTGTGGTCTGGAAAAACACTTTTGGTCCATAGTTGATTTTCCTAAATGGTACCTAGGTATTTGCCAGAGCTTTCAAGCAGACCTAAGTAGGTCACTGGCTCCCAAAGCTAGTGGCAAGGAAACACATAACCTCCCTTGGACATTTTAAATCCACCCAGGTATCAATCTGCATAATTATGTGAACACAGCTAGTCCTTAGCTTCTCTCTGTCTTGACTATCTCCCACTGAAATGAAACCAAAGTTTAATATATACATATACATATATTGAGAGAGAGAGACTGAACCAGAAGCTCTATTGGCATGTCTGGTACACATTTATTTGGCATAAATATGGTCCAGCAGATTTGCTGCCTCGATGCTTAAAATAAACTAAAAACAAAGCTGCAGATTCAAAGCTCCACACTTCATCCTCGGAAGCCTGGGGTAGTCCTGGAGAATAGCTGTGAAAGCTACAAATGGCAATAATACATTTTTAATAAAATCACTGTTTTAAATCATTTGCTTTCACCATCTATTTTGCAAGTCTCAGAGGAACCCAAAAGCCATTGTGTGGCAGCTTCCTCATTTTTAAATATTATGAGGAAACTAAAAGATCACTCCAGCTATAAATACACGTTATGAATGGAGTTCGGTATGGAGGACGAAAGCTGTAAAATAATGCCTGGGGGAATTAAAAATGTACTGGGGCGTTGATATAACACTGACAGGCAGAGGCCAAGTGCATTATTTCAGCATCAAGGTAACTTTTCTGTCCCAAGGACAATATTTTACACAACGATTGCTTGAAAAAACACAGTATTTTTTTATTACTCTTCTCTGTATTTTTTCCCCTACACCCACATATTGAAATTGCTATAAATCCTGTTTGCTCAGGGCAACATTACCCATTTCATTTGTTTGAGTGACACGTTCCTGAGCACATGCTGGTTTTTCCACACTACTTCCCAATTTTCCAGAAAACTCTGCCTACTAGGTTGTTCGAGCAAGTTAAGGGACAGGATGAAGAAATCAGGAGCTCTTGGCACAGCTGTAGTGATCCTGACCCCCACGGAGATGAAGAGCAGTACAGTACACAAAAATCAATACACCCCTCAACTGCAGTCACAAATTCCACATGTGATGTAGGTCCTCCCGCAGCGAATTGCCAGGTTGTTAAGCAGCACACACAAGACACAAGCAGGAATCTGTCTTTCAAGGGACACTGAGGAAAAGAAATATATACACACGCACACTCTTTCAGCACACTACCCTCAGCAGTGCTGCAACTCCCCACAAAGTCAGGGCACTGCACCTCTAAAAGCAGTTTGCTTTGTGCTCCAGCAGGAACCATTTCACATGCACAGCGCTCCAGCCTGGCCACCGCTACGAAGCAGCACATCCAACAGCTGTGAAAGCAAGTACTTCTCAACAGCTTTCCAAATGCAAGAGCCATAAAGGGAAGCATGGTCAGCACAGCAGCGCTGGTAGGGAAGAGGAGAGCACACTGGCACACAGCACCAACTGGGCACTGGCAGCACCCTGCATGCTCCAGCTGCATAGCAGAAGATTTCTGGGCTCTACCCAAGTCTTTTACCCATTCTCAGTCCAGTAGCCATAGATAACCTTGCACCGCTTTCCTCCTGCAGGATTTCCACACGTGAAGGCTTTTCTTAGCCAACCATAAACTGATTTTCTCCATTCCCCTTGCACTAATGCTGAAGCATGCATTAGTGAAGGATGTGAAGCAGGTCTAAGGGCGCTTTCAGAGCTACAGGTTTCTCCGAATAACAGCCAGTAGACTGGCTGGGAGAATACAAAACTACACAAGCAGCAACACAGCCAATTGTTGCAGTACAGAGCCAGCTGCAGCACCTTACTGTGCTGCCAGGGAGAAGGAGCACTACAGAGTTTGTATTCGCCAAGGTTTGTTATAATTCCAACCATATTCCTGAAGAGTCTTTTACCCCTGAAACCTCAGATGAAGTCAGGTCAACGGAGTGGTTTGCCTTAGTCAATGAGGAATGGGTTAGAGATCAGTTGAGCAATCTGGACATCCATAAATCCATGGGTCCAGATGGGATGCACCCGCGGGTGCTGAGGGAACTGGCGGAAGTCATTGCTAGACCACTCTCCATCATCTTCACCAAGTCTTGGGAAACGGGAGAGGTGCCTGAGGACTGGAGGAAAGCAAATGTCACTCCAGTCTTCAAAAAGGGCAAGAAGGAGGACCCGGGTAACTATAGACCGGTCAGCCTCACCTCCATCCCTGGGAAAGTGATGGAACACCTTATCCTTGGTGCCATCTTAAGGCATATCAAGGATAAGAGGGTTATGAGGGGCAGTCAACATGGCTTCACCAAGGGGAAGTCATGCTTGACCAATCTCATAGCCTTTTATGAGGAAATAACACGGTGGATGGATGATGGCAGAGCGGTGGATGTGGTCTACCTTGACTTCAGCAAAGCATTTGACACAGTCTCCCACAGCACCCTCACAGCTAAATTGAGGAAGTGTGGACTGGATGATCAGGTAGTGAGGTGGACTGCGAACTGGCTGAAGGAGAGAAGCCAGAGAGTCGTAGTTTATGGGGCGGAGTCTAGTTGGAGGCCTGTAACTAGTGGAGTGCCTCAAGGGTCAGTACTGGGACCAGTATTATTTAATGTATTCATCAATGATTTAGATGAGGGAATTGAGTGTACTATCAGAAGTTTGCTGATGACACTAAGCTGGGAGGAGTGGCTGACACGCCAGAAGGCTGTGCTGCCATCCAGCGAGACCTGGACAGGCTGAAGAGTTGGGCAGGGAATAACTTGATGAAATATAACAAGGGAAAGTGTAGAGTCCTGCATCTGGGCAGGAACAACCCCAGGTTCCAGTACAGGTTGGGGAACAACCTGTTAGAGAGCAGTGTAGGGGAGCGGGACCTGGGGGTCCTAGTAGATGACAGGATGACCATGAGCCAACACTGTGCCCTTGTGGCCAAGAAGGCCAATGGCATCCTGGGGTGTATTAGAAGGGCGGTGGTTAGTAGGTCGAGAGAGGTACTCCTTCCCCTCTACTCTGCCCTGGTGAGACCCCATCTGGAATATTGTGTCCAGTTCTGGGCCCCTCAGTTCAAGAAGGACAGGGAGCTGCTGGAGAGAGTCCAGCGCAGGGCAACAAAGATGATTAAGGGAGTGGAGCATCTCCCTTATGAGGAAAGACTGAGGGAGCTGGGTCTCTATAGTTTGGAGGAGACTGAGGGGTGACCTTATTAGTGTATATAAATATATAAAGGGGGAGTGTCACGAGGATGGAGCCAGGCTCTACTCAGTGGCAAACTGATAGGACAAGGGGTAATGGGTACAAACTGGAACACAAGAGGTTCCACTTAAACTTGAGAAGAAACTTCTTCTCAGTGAGGGTGACGGAACAC